ACCCTAAACCCTAAACGCTAAACGCTAAACGCTAAACGCTAAACGCTAAACGCTAAACCCTAAACCCTAAACCCCAAACCCCAACCCTAACCAGCCAACCCGACAAACTCCCTGAACTCCCTGAACTTCCTGAAGCTTCCTGAGCCCTACTAAGGTTTAGGGTTTAGGGTTTAGGCAGTTTAGGGTTTAGGGTTTAGGGTTCCTGAACTTCCTGAAGCTTCCTGAGCCCTGCTAGGGTTGAGGGGGTAGGTTTAGGGCAGTTTAGGGTTAGGGTTTAGGGTTTAAGGGTATAAACTTGGGATGTTCCCCTTATTACTACCAGTCCTTAGTAGGGATTCGAATACTGGATACTATAATGCCTACTAAGGAGAGTGCGCAAAAAAGAGGCCCGCGGATATTCAAGGTAACCCCCCCCTCCCCCCCCCCCCCCCCTTCACCCAACAAACCCCCCCTCCCCCCCCCCCCCCACCCAAAGAAAGGGGGGGGGGGGGCCCCCCCCCCCCCCCCCCATGCTCAATTCCACATTTCCTCTGCCATTTTTGGTAGGATTCCTATTGTTTTTATTCGGAATCCTTCTAATTTCAAGAGGATTTCCATTAATGTAACAAGATTTCTATTTGCGTTCTTTTTTCGTAGCATTTCAATTCAATTTTAATATGGTTGGAATTATTTTTTCTAATCGGACTTCTACTAATTTTAATAGCAGTTCAATCAATTGTAATAGGAGTTGAACTTAATTCGACAAGGATTTCTATTATTTTAATACGAATCCCGTTAAACGCAATACAAATCTTATTAGAAGGGATAAAAACCTCATTCATATTATTAAAAATCTTTCAAAAGTAACAAAAACCCGACTAGAATCAAAAGAAGTCCTATTAGAACTTTAATTAAAATCAAGTGAAACCCTATTAAGAATACTTTTATTAAAAGAAATAGAAATGCCACTAGTAGAAGCTAGAAACCATTGCTCCCTATTAAATAAAGATCCACATTTGTATTTGTTAATTTCTATTAAAGTAAGTCGAAATCTTTAATCTCATTAAAATTGATAAAAGGGGGAGGGGGGGGGCTTCAATTGACCGGCGGGGGGGGGGGGCCCCCCCCCCCCCTTGAACAAGAGAGAGGGGGGGGGGAGGGGGGGGGGGGTTGGGGGGGGCCCCTTGAACAAGAGGGGGGGGGGAGGGGGGGGGGGGGGGCTGGCTTATGTTCCCGCAGGCCGCAGTGGCGCGCACTATCCTACTAAGGACTGTTAGTCTAGGGGGGAACAGCCCAAGTTAAGTTGAGGGTACAAACTGTAAGGCCCTAGACCCGATAAAGGCGGTGGCCTCTTTATCTGCTGCCCTTAAACCTAAAATATAGCCCCCTAGGTACCCTAATAAGACCCTCGAATCTATGCCCCTGTAAAGCAGAAACCCTACTTAAAGAGACCCTAAACCCTAAACCTAAACCCTAAACCCGTATAACGCCTACACCCTACAAACCGTGGACCTGCCGATGCGTCGACTCCCCGGAGGGCGGAGATCCAGTCGCGCGGCTTGAAATCCTCTCCTGCTTGAAAGGACAGGTGAACTGAACGAAACCCCAAACCCTAAACCCGAAACCCCAAACCCTAAACCTAAACCCTAAACCCTAAACCCTAAACCCCAAACCCCAAACCCTAAACCCTAACTTCGTAGCATTTAGGGTAAGCGGGCCTTTGTTGCAGGACATCTTGTTTTCTTGCGGAGCCGGGGCGCGTGTTTTTTTTCTTTTGCTGCGCGCGCAAGGCATGCCCCCTACTTGCTCAAGATTTTACGAAGACCGCGGTTTAGGGTTTAGGGTTTAGGGTTTCGGGTTTAGGGTGTAGGGTGTAGGGTGTAGGGTGCAGGGTTTAAGAATACCTTGGGATGTTCCCACTTATACTAACAGCTCCTTCACGGGGATTCTTATAAGGGGGTACTGTACTCCCTTTGAAGGACTGTTAGTATAAGGGGGAACATCCCAAAGAGCACCTCTCATACGCAGAAATTGGATTCAGCAAAACCCGGTTTAGGGCATACAGGGTTCAGAAAAGGACAGCAGCTGCGCGAGAAACCCTTACAACGCAGGTGCCCCAAAACGCACAGCAGAGGCCACCATGTAGAAGTGATGTGCCTGCACCACAAACAAAACTCTTCTTTTCACTTTACCCTGGGACCCACTGCACCCGATAATTGGGGTCTAAACCCTAAACCCTAAACCCTAAACCCTAAACCCTAAACCCTACACCCTACACCCTACACCCTAAACCCTAAACCCTAAACCCTAAACCCTAAACCCTAAACCCTAGACCCTAGACCCTAGACCCTAAACCCTAAACCCTAAACCCTAACCCTAAACCCTATACTACTATAATCCCTATTAACCAGAAGGAACGCATTTCATGCCAAAAGACTCCTCTGGAACCCGGAGCCCTACCTTGAGCACCATGTGAACCCTAGAATTGGGGTCATATACCCTGACTACTCTAATCCCTATGAAGGCATATGGACCAAAAACCCCCACTTTTTCGGGTTCATTTAGTCCCCCAAGACTTTGTTGCCTAAACCCTAAACCCTAAACCCTAAACCCTCAACCCTCAACCCTCAACCCTAAACCCTAAACCCTAAACCCTAACCCTAAACCCTAAACCCTAAACCCTAACCCTAAACCCTAAGCCCCCTTTCTCGCATGTTGGCTAGAGGCTGCCTGTGAAAGCCGGCGGCGGGGAGGAGCCCCGAAGTGGTCGCCGTGCCTGCAAGGGACCCTCGAGGGCTTGAGACGTCTGGGGTTTAGGGTTTAGGGTTTAGAAGGTTCAGAATTTTCTTGCCGGTTCTTAGTAGGGAATGAGGGAATGAGGATACTTTACAATCCGGCAAAGGGTATATAAAGGAGGATATAAGGTGCCGAATTCCCTCATTTCCCACTAAGAATTCGGGGGTCGTAAGTGCTCTGAGTTTCGGGCTTCGGGCGGCTCGGGTTTCGCGGTGCTTGGATGAGTCAACTCTGAAACCCTGCCTCTAGCTTTTGTTACGGCTTCAGGTCTGCAGGGCTCAGGGTTTAGGGCTTCCGGATTTATTTGAGTGTTTCGGCAAGCCCCCTCCACCGTCAACCTTGACAATTCGCCAAAATACCTCTTAGATCTCCACGTCCCAGACTCGAAGCAGTCCCTTCACAAGCCCACAAGACTTGGCTGCACTCAGGAGGGTAGCTATAAATTAAGCTTTTGGCTGCCTCAATAAGAAACCCAATAAACCCAAAAAAAGGTAAGGATCTAAAGTTACAGTAAAGGACCGCAAAGAAGAATCCCCTGAATGCCTTGCACAAACTACATACAACCCCCAAACGACGCAAAGCTCGGTAGATAGCTGGAGACCCCAGCTATCCCCGCAGAACCCAAATTGCGAAGGGCTCAAGGGTTTTGGGTTGGTTTTGAAGGTTTGCAGCACAAGGGCCCTGTGCTGATCCTCCCCAACCCATAAAGAGCGAGCACTGACACCTCGTCATTCTCCGCCCGGGGCGGTGCAAGCCTGCGATCGCGACCGGGTGTTGTTTAGGTTTTAAGGAGTGATTGGGGCTCCATTTGCCCATTTTGGGGGAGGCTACACCGCTAGGAAGTTCTGGCCTATTCACAACCCTCAACCCTAAAACTTAGACTACTATTTGCTTAAGAACCCCAAAAAAGAACATATAATAATCCCTACATTACCCTGAAAAGGAAGAAGATTTAGATTTTTTGGGCGGAGGGGAGGTTCTTTAGCAAAGATGAGTAGACCCTCAACTCTAAAACTACCTGCAGAGTTCTGAGCCCTGATGAAGTACTGGTTTTAGGGTTTAGGGTTTCGGGTCCAAGTGGAGGTATATTGTGGACGGTGAGAAGCCTTGTTGGTTCTTCCCCCCCCCCCCCACTAAACGCTAAACCCTAAACCCTGAACGCTAAACCCTAAACCCGGTAAGAAAGCAACAAAAGCCGGCCGAGTGTTCGAGCTTCTCGGTTTCGGCTCTAGTCTTAATCCAGATTTAGGGTTTCGGGTTTGGGCTTTAAGGTTTGCTTGCGCGCTTTGGGGCCTACTATTCTAGGGCTCAGGGTTTGGGTTTAGGGTTTAGGGTTGAGGGTTGAGGGTTTAGGGTTTAGGGCTTAGGGTTTAGGGTTTGGCTCGAGGTTCCGGAGGGTGTAAGGGTAAACCCTTACATCGAAGCCCCCGGCCCAACTAAACCAAGCAAGCCATTCCTGAAACTCCAGAGAGGCCAAGGGTTTAGGGTTTGGGGTTTAGGGGTTTGGGTTTAGGGTTTAGAGTTTAGGGTTTAGGGTTTAGGGTTTAGGATTTAGGGTGTTGGGTTTCGGGCTTACAGGGCCCCGAGCCGGGCTGACCTTTGGATCTCCCTCGCCTCCTTCGAGACGTCCGAGATCCAGATTCGGGGACCCCAAGCGGGACCCCACAAACTGTGGGGCTTAGGCCTTTAGAGATGTCAGGCTTGAGGGATTGAAGCCTGTAAGCGGTTTAGGGTTTAGGGTTTAGGGTCTAGGGTTTAAGGTTTAGGGCTAGGGTTTAGGGCTAGGGTTTAGGGTCTTGAGTCTTGGCGTCGCTCTCTTTGCAAGGCCTAAGCCCCATGAAACGGCCGCCTAGCCTCTGAGGCCCAGCGATGGAAACGCAACCTACACCATGAGCCCCACAAACGCCTCAAACCCGATAAAACCTACAACCCCCCCCCAAAAAAACCCATGAACCGCAACAAAAAAGGCAAAAACCATGAACTCCCTGAAAGCCCCCATGAAACCCTAGGAAACCCTATGAAACCCATGTTTGAAAACCTATGAGAACCCACGAAGCCCTCACCCTAAACCCTAAACCGCATTATTTCAGATCTCCTAAACCCTAAACCCTAAACCCTAAACCCTAAACCCTAAACCCTAAACCCTAAACCCTAAACCCTAAACCCTAAACCCTAAACCCTAAACCCTAAACCCTAAACCCTACACCTAAACCCTAAAAATATTTTCAGATCTGCGGGATCAGCCGCAGCATGATGGAACGGAGCCGGGGGCCTGCGGCCTTGCCTAGGTTCCCATTTTGTAGCAACAAAACGGGTTTTAAAGGGTTCAAGGGTTTAGGGTTGATAAGGGTTTAAGGGTTTTAAGGGGTTTAGGCTTCATAAGGGTTTAAAGGGTTTGGGGGTTCAAAAGTTTAAAGGGCTAGGGGTCTACGGGTTTAGGGCTCGCGTAGGGTCTCTGAGGGAGCATAAGAACTCAAAAACCCGGGAACGAAGGTCCTGCTGGGCGCCCAGTTGCCGACCTGAACCACCTCGCTGTGTTCCACCTTCTCCTCTGACCTGGGCTTTCAGAGGGTAAACCCTAAACCCTAAACTAGAAGCCCTATACCCTAAACCTTGGCACTTTCCCCCTTACACTAGCCGTCCTTAATGGGGGGTACTCTAATCCCTACTAAGGACAGTTAGTATGAAGGGGAACATCCCAACCTAAACCCTAAACCCTAAACCCTAAACCCTAAACCCGAAACCCTAACCCCAAACCCTAAACCCTAAACCCTTCAAGGGTTAGTGCTGAGGGTCTAGGGCTTCGGCTTCCGAACAGAAATCTTTCGCTGAGGAGCCGCAGACCACAAAGGTTCAGGGTTAAAGGACAAGGGTTTAGGGTTTAGGGTTTAGGGTTTAGGGTTTAGGGTTTAGGGTTTAGGGTTTAGGGTTTAGGGTTTAGGGTTTAGGGTTTAGGGTTTAGAGAAAAACGCCCTGCTGGAAAAGTACTCCGGGTTTATGATGCCGGGGTTAAGGGTTCGGGGCTGCAGGTTGAGGGGTCTGAGTTTCTTAGGGCTTAGGGTTTAGGGTACGGGGCCTAAACCCTAGACCCTAAACCCTATCAACCCTAAACCCTGAACCCTGAACCCTGAACCCTAAACCCTAAACCCTAAACCCTACACCCTAAACCCTAAACCCTAAACCCAAAACCCCAGCCAAGCGACAGGTCCTCGTCCACCGTCGCGTTGGTGATCACCGAGAAGCCGAGGACCTCCATGTCCAGGTGCCGCGCAGCGATGCACTCATTCCTCCAGTTGCAGAGGGTTTAGGGTTTAGGGTTGAGGGTTTAGGGTGTAGGGTGTAGGGTTTAGGGTTCAGGGTTTAGGGTTGAGGGTGTAGGGTGTAGGGTTCAGGGCCCAGGGTCCCAAAGAGCCCCAGTTGCCACGATTTCTAGACAGGAGCAACCGAGGCATAAGCAGGGGTGCCCTTTTTGGTTTAAAGGGGGCGAGCGGAACCTGAGTCCTATAAAAAGGGAATAAATGCCAACTCTGTGCCCCAGGTTTGCTCCAGAACCCCCCAACAAATTCAAAGAGCATAATCCCTGTGTTGCCCTTACGAAGAAGTTTGTTATTTAATTTTTGTGTTTTTTTTTTTTTTTTTGGGGGGGGGGGGGCCCTCTTAAACGCTTAGAGACTTAGTAGGTTGGAGTTGAAGTTCTGGGGTGGAAATTCTGGGGGTTCACCTTCTAGATTTTTGGGGTTTAGGGCGTAGGGTTGAGCACCGGTTGTAGTAAACCCTACAAACCCTACTGCAGCATCAGAAAACTGGGCAGCAGATGCGCTGAGACGCGAATCGTCAGTTCTCGCATCCTTGCCCGTAAGCCATGTATCCAGATCATGCTCATCGGACAAAAGATCGTCCAAAACTAGATATCTCAAACATCGGCAACAACCCTTAAAACCGACAAAACACATGCAGTGGACCCTAAACCCTAGACCGTGAACAAGAACCCTATACCCTAAACCCTAAAAGCCCTAAACCCTAAAAACCCTAAACCCTAAACCCTAAACCCTAAACCCTGAACCCTGAACCCTGAACCCTGAAACCCTCAACCCTAAAAACCCCCAAAACTCTGCACCTAGGCTCACGGTGCTCATCCCGACGGCATCCACCCCCAGCAGCCGCAGCATGCGGATCTCCGCGGGCGTCTCGTAGCTTGGGCCCAGCATGGCCGCATAGACTCCCGAGCGCACCTGCGCGGGACCAAAGGCTCCCCCCCCCCCTCAAAAAAAAAACCGCGAAAAGCCTCTAAAGACATCGTATAGTCTTTTAGGGTTCAGGGGATAGGGTTCCGGGTTTAGGGTTTAGGGTTTAGGGTTTAGTGCTTAGGGTTTAGGGTTTAGGGTTTAGGGTTTAGGGTTTAGGGAGCCCTGAACCCTATACCCTGAGCCCTGCATCCTAAACCCTGGGCCCTGGAACCCTGATCCAGCCCAAAACCTGAAACCCTGAATCCTAACTCCTGAGCCCCAACTCCTCTTTGCTCTTGGTTCCCCCTAAACCCTAAACCCTAAACCCTAAACCCTAAACCCTAAACCCTAAACCCTAAACCCTAAACCCTAAACCCTAAACCCCAGGAAAAACCAGGGTTCCCACCTTTTTGTTTGGTTCGAAGGGGGCTGACACAGGAACCTGGGTTCAGGACTTGGGGATTGGGTGTTTAGGGTTTAGGAGTTAGAGGTTAGGGTTTAAGGGTGTAGGGTTTAGGGTTTCAAGTTATGAGGCAAAGGCAGTAAAAGGCCCATACCAGATCTTACCCTGAACTCTTCACCTACTGGCCCTTGGCCTCAGGATCAATCTCCTGCACGATCTTCCTGAGACGTGGCGAGTAGGCATCGTTCATTGGGAAGAACCGCGGCCGCTCCGGATCGTTGCGGCCAACACATGGGTTTTGGAACAGAAGGTTGATGTGATCCTGGGATACTCACTAACCTGGGATTCAAAAGGGTACCCCTTTTTTTGTGTAAAGAGGTTTATAAGGGAACCTAAGCCCCCAGAAAAGGGAATAAGGGTACTGCTGGGCATCCTAGGATCCTTGACGCGGGAGTAACCTAGGAATAAAAAAGGGTACCTTGTTTGGTTTTCAGGGGATTATAAGGGGACCCCAACCCTAAAAAAAGAAAAAAAAGGCCTACTATCCCGGTCCTAGGATCTGCAATCAGCATCAGGTCACCAGTCAGGAATTTCTTGTTGATGCCACCGGCAGCATTGGTCAGGAGAAGGGTCCTGATACCCCAGCTGTGCATCACCCGTACCGGGAAGGCGCACTGATGAGCAGTGTAGCCTTCGTAGAGGTGAACCTGGGCAGCCACCAAGCAGGGTGAGCCCTGAACCCCAAAATCCCAACTTTCAACTCTAAACCCCCTAAACCCCTAGCCCCCCTAACCCCCCTAACCCCCCTAACCTTAAACGCCGTAAACCCCCGAAAACCCCCTAAAACCCTAAACCCCCTAAACCCCCCAAACCCCCCAAACCCCCTTAACCTCAACCCAAACCCCCCTAAACCCATGGGCCAAGCAGCACGCCCCTGCATCATCAGAACAGGGACTCCTTGGAGGTAGCCATGTGCAAAGCGTCCGACGTGGCCTCACGGATTAGGGCCTAGGGGAAGTTCGCCTCCAGGGTTTAAGTTTACAATTTAGGGCCTAGGGTTGAGAAATGAGGAATTAGGGTGTAAGGTTTCGGGTTTATACATGTGATTGAATGCATGAGGTTTGCGGTTTAGAGTTCCATATATGGCATATATGGTCCTCCATGTTGTCAAGACGCGCAGTGATACGCCACAAGCAAATTTATAATATAGTAGCAACAGTGTATGGCAATGATTTCTCAACTATATTAAACGGTAGAAGCATCTCTATACATGTTCCCCAGGCCCGCCCCAATGAAATCCTAGAATACGGAACCCGAAACCCTAAACCCTAAACCCTCTAACCCTAAACCCGAAACCCTCCAAGGCCTTCTACGGTGGAGACCGGAAATGAGGGTATGTCGCTGTAGTTCAAGAAGATGGGGTCTACCAAGTCGCTCCTGCTGCGAGGCTGTGGGATGTAGGGGTTCTGGGGCTTATGGTTGGGTTACGTAGGGTCTAGGGTTAGGGTTAAGGGTTCAGAGGTTTTGGGTTTTGGGTTTAGGGTTTAGGGTTCAGGGGTTTAGGGTTAGGGTTTAGGCGGTTAGGCGGTCTAGGGTGCAGGTCTGGGGTTTAGGGCTTGGGATTCAGAGAGCCCTAGCTAAGCCCTGGAAGGCTCGATGCCTAGACTGAAGGCAAAGCAAACCTTGCGTACTCCGCGTGCTTCGTGTGTTTCAGGGCTCGGGGCAGTTAGAAAGTAGGAGACACAAGTAGGGTCACACGCACACGAAGTGTTGAGTTATCCTCAGAAGAACCTTCTTCATAAGCTGCTTACCGAGCCCTAAACCCTAAACCTAAACCCCGAAACCCGAAACCCGAAACCCTAAACCCTAAACCCTAAACCCTAAACCCTAAACCCTAAACCCTAAATCCAAGTCCAGCCAGGGAGCACAAAGTCCCCAAGGCCGCTTCCCAGCACGATGGCGATAGAAGTTGGGGGCTCGCGTTTCTGGAACTCCTGGGGTTTAGGGTTTTGGGTTCGCCCTAAACCCTAAACCCTAAACCCTAAACCCTAAACCCTAAACCCTAAACCCTAAACCCTAAACCCTAAACACATCATGAAACCTCCTCTTCCAGTCCTACGTGACAGTAGTCTGGGCGTTAGCGACTCTGTGGCTTTAGGCTAAGAGATATACTTGGAGGTTCAGAGTACTTATAACCCCAAGTACAGTTGTACTTATAAGCCCCCTAAGTCCTCTAAGTAGGTCTACTTACTTTTAATTGGGGTTCTTAGTACCCATACACCTCCATGTACCTATCAGGTGGACCCTAATTTCGAACAAACTTGAGCTGCCCTCCGGCAAGCAAAGCGGCGGGCCAATGGCAGGAGGTCGCGCCGCCCCCGCTCGTCTCCGCTGCGGGAGTGGCAGGCGGCATCGTATGGCAGCTCGTGCGAAGCAATGTTTCGTGTTAGGTTTGGGTTTAGGGTTTACTGTAGGGTTTAGGGTTTAGGGTTTAGGGTTTTGGGTTTTGGGTTTTGGGTTTTGGGTCAGCTAACAGGGCTTAAACTCTACCCAAAGGCTCCTATGTAGTACCTTGTTGGGGTCGTCACTAGAACCCCCTAGAGCTAAACCCTAAAGGAACTACATTGCAGCTTAGGGTACATCGCAAACCCTAAACTAATGAAATCCGAAAGGTTGAAGGTTCCGGGTATAGCACAGACGATTCTACTCTTTGATAGTGCAACTACAAGGCATGATGGTATACCGCGGCCTTGTCGGAGCCGGCGCAGGACATCGCCAATCCCTTAATAGATGCCCTAAACCCTAAATCTGAACACCCCACACCCCATGCACCCTCAAGCCTAATTCCTAAATCCTGCAAACCCAAAAGCTTAGTCTCAGGGGGAATGTTCGAACTGGAGTTCCAAGCTTGCGGTTTGGGGTTTAGGGTTTAAACGGTTTAGGGTTTAGGGCTTAGGGAGTTGGAGTTTATCTGAGGTCTAGAAACCAGACCTGAAGAAATGCTAGCGAACACCCGAAAACAACACACAATGTGTTGTTGTTTCTTGTTGAATATAAAACGCAAGAAATGTTCGAAATCCCATTCGCAAATCTTGTGAAGCTTAGCCGCGAAGGGCAAGTACGTAGGCGTGCCAGTCCCTGTTGTGGAGCATGCTTTGATTGAACAACTTTCATTAGCTCTCATCTCCCGTAAAGTGTGCGGGCTGCAGCCACCAACCCTAAACCCCAAGCCCTGAACCCGAATCCTCTGAACCCTCATCCCCTAAAGTCTTCAAAAGGCCTAACCTGAAGCCCGAACAACATCGCCGAAACGCCTACAGTTACTCGTTCTCCTGAATGACGGAATGAAGTTTAAGCATTTTTCCAGGGTGCTGGGAATCCTAGGCCGTAAACACGCCACACTTACTCGTCCTCCTGAAGGAAATCAGTTTAAGAATTTGTCCTGGGTATTGGTTAAACCCTAAACCCCAAACCCTCAACCCTAAACCCCAAACCCTCAACCCTAAACCCTAAACCCTAAACCCTAAACCCCAAACCCTAAACCCTAACCGGCGAAGCCCTGTGGGCCTGCTCACGAGCGCCAGGAGCCCTGTCGGGCCCTCGAGGGTGGAGGCCATGGATGGCGCCTTGGGATTTAGGGTTTAGGGTTTAGGGTTTAGGGTTCAGGGCTTAGTAAACTCCAGAAAGTTGGAACATGGTTTAAGGATGAATGGAGGAGCGCTTCCCTGTAGGAAACCCTTTGGGGTATGAGGATAAGGATGCTCAAACTTTTGGAGTTTACCGTAGGGTTTAGGGTTTTGGGTTTGCGGTTTGGGGTTTGGGGCTTAGGGTTTAGGGTTTAGGGGCGAGATTTACTCTACCCGAAGCCTAAACTCTCAACTCGCGATCAGAACTCCACACCCTCAACCCTCAACCCTCCCAAGTCTATATACTTCTGAGCTAGGGGGAGTTAAGGTTTCAGAAAGGTATGCTGTGGGGCCCCGCGATTTTGCATGTCTGCTTTGTAACCAAAAGCCTGAACCTCAAATCTCAACGTCCAGACACAAACCCCGCACCCCAACGCCCTAAACCCTAACACTCTAAAGGCCCTGAACCCCAACCCTGAAACCCTGTGCCCTAAACCCCGAACCCCTAACCCTAAACCCTAAACCCTAAACCCTAAACCTCCTGAAACCCCTTAACCCCCCCGGCCATGCTTATGGGTGCCCGGCGAGTCGCGGGCTGATCCCGGCCACGCCTGGGGAGCGCTGATGGCGCAACGAAAACCCCCAAGCAACCCGTAAACATCCCTAAGCCCTAAGCATCCCTAGGGTTTAGGGTTTAGGGTTTAGGGTTTAGGGTTTAGTTTAGGGTTTAGGGTTTAGGGTTTAGGGTTTAGGGACTTCTGAGCACTTCGGCGACTTTCGGGTGTAGCTCCTGGGAGATTTCCCATTTGTGCGGTTGGTGGCTTGGGGAATCTGCAGGCTCCTACACTGCGCTCAACCCTAAACTGATGAGCCCTACACTCCCAGGCCCAACTGATGCTCATCCCGAACTCTGCAAGCTTCAACTCCGAACCCTCGAGCCCAAGCCCCAAAGCCACGCCGTTGTGTTTAGGGTTTAGGGTTTAGGGTTTGGGGTTTGGGGTTTAGGGTTTAGGGTTTGAGGTTTGGGGAAACCCTGTTTTTGGGGTTTCGGGCTTAGGGATGCTTCGGGCTTAGGGAAGTGTGGGATGGCTCGGGGATTGGGGAGGCTTAGGGTTTAGGGTTTAGGGTTTAGGGTTTAGGGTTTAGGGTTTAGGGTTTAGGGTTTAGGGTTTACGTTTAGGGTTTAGGGTTGTGTAGTAAAACCTCGCCGCCCCTAAGCTGTACACACGGCCGGCCGCCTTGCGCAGGCAGAAGCTCTGGGGGCAGCCGCGCCTCGCACGGCCTCCGCACGAAGCACCCACATGATGAGAGGCTCTGGCACAAGCTAGGGTTTAGGGATAGGGTTTAGGGTTTAGGGTTTAGGGTTTGGTTTCGGGTTTAGGGTTTAGGGTTTAGCGTTTAGGGTTTAGGGTTTAGGGTTTAGGGAGCCCCAACCCTAAAGTGCGGAGCAAACGCCTCAGACCGCCCCAAGCCCTACCAAGCCCTCAAAAACCCAGAAGACTAAGTCTCACATATCACACCGAAACTCTCAACCCCAAAATGCCGGATATAGAAGCCATATACAAATAATGCATCTCAGGGTTCCTGTAAACCCTCAACCCTCAACCCTCAACCCTCAACCCTAAATCCTCGATCCTAAACCCTCAACCCTCAAACCTAAATCCTCAACTTAGGGTTTAGGGTTTAGGGTTTAGGGTTTAGAGTTTAGGGTTTAGGGTTTAGGGTTTAGGGTTTAGCGGTATATGACCCCAATTTTAGGGTTCAATTTGGTCCCCAAGGTACCGGCCGGCCTACTCCTCGGTCTGGGTGGCGGAGATGTCCTGCACGAAGGCTCATGGAATGGGCTTTGGGGTTTAGGGTTTAGGGTTTAGGGTTTGGGGTTTAGGGTTTGGGGTTTAGGGTCTAGGGTCTAGGGTCTAGGGTTGGGGGTTTGGGGTTTGGGGTTTGCGGCTTAGGATTTCGGATTGGGGGTTTCGTTTGGGTGTAGGGGCCTTTGGATGTTTAGGGGGTGGTTCGACACTTATGGAGGTCGTCTCTGGGGGTTTAGGGCTCGCTGTTCTCCGTCTCCCGGATAGTGCAAGCTGGCTCCCTACTCAGATGTCCAATCATGAAAAGGCGACATCGCAAAGTAGGTAGCTCTTCAAGTAAGGGTCCCGTTTTGGGGTCCCGATTATAAGGGCGCCGGTTGCCGTAAGAAAAAGAAAGAGGACCCCTCCAAAAAGGGGACTCTCATTTAGAGAAGTACCCAACTAACAAAGGGCACCACCTGGAAAACCTAAACAGCGGACCCTGGCGTAGATCGCTAAACCATGAACCC